CCCCCCCCCCCCTCCCGTGTCTACCGGTTGGGTCTCGGGGACGGCTTTTGGTCCCTGACCCGGGGGTTTTGTTTTCTTTTCTCTTCTAAGGCTATTTCATAGGCTTGGACGTCCTTGCTTTTCGTTAACGCGATAATTTTTGTCTGTAGCACTTTTTTTTCTGGTTGTCACTGTCACTAAATTTGATGTATATTGCTTTTTGCAATAAGATATATAGGATACGGTAAGTATTAAGATTCAAAGACTGGTAATGCTTTTTTTTAATGTCATTGGATCCAAATACTCTGGAACCAAATGTATAATAATGACATCATCATTTATTAAAATTTTATTTTTAATGTCAAATAGCGTTACATACATGATGAAAAAAAAAAGCATCAACGTAGTTCATTTCATAAACATAGTACTTTTCTCTATGTAAACCACTGGTTATTAATAATGATAACTTAAATAATAAAGTTCTGAAATGCAGGCATACATTAATACTATAAGTGACTCAACGTATTTCAAAAGTCTTTAGACAATAAGGATTAATGAATATAAAGTATAACTGGAAGAAGATAAAATTCTATGAATATGCAACCGCCTTAACCTACTCATTCTATCTGGTGACCTTACTTCTCTTACCTTCATTTTTTTAGTAAGTGCGCATAAACTATTTTAATATATGCCTTATTTATAAATCTAATATATTTTGTAAACCCTTTCTCACGTAATAAAGGAATAATTAATAATAGACAGGTTAATAAAGCTAATAATCCTAACTGAAGATTAGTATGTTTACAAAAATATACCTCAAAATAACTACACTTTTCGTTATTCAATCAGATAATTTAATCATTATAACATGCTAATTATGTAAACAGTATATTATTTAATAAGTAGAAGTAGACTCTTGGAACTCATTCATTTTTATTAAGACCTCACTGTGATAGTCAAGTGGTAGTCTACTGGTCTACCAGTCCTTAGGGATGAGTTATCTAACTAAAGCTTAAACCTATAAATCCATTTATCCATCAACAACTAACTAAACACTTTAAATTCTTGTCTATTTAATTTTAACGAGTCGTTTATTATTCATTTGTAATAACTTTTTTTTACTATAATATTAGTAACTGATTGTTGAAATTCCAAATCATTTATATTTACACGGAAAATTACATCTACTTCCTACTTTTACATTACTGGAGAACTATTCATACAAATGCAAGTGAATAAAGATATTAAGAAAAGAGCAACTGTTATTATTATTATTTTAAGGATAATAATTATACAACTGTGTTTTTGGTGTATCTGCATGTACAAAAGAGCGAATTATTTGTTTATTCGCATCATTCTTTTTTTAAAGATTCTAAGCTAAAAACGGGGGATTTAGCCTGAACCATGAATCTATACTTACAACAGTTTACTAAACATCTATATAAATAAGATAACGAAATTCTAATCACTATTTTTATAAATATGATTGTTACAAGCAAAATTTGGAGTACTACCTCCAAAGAAACGGTAAACTATTAACTTTTTCTTTAAAGCAAAAGTGTTAACGATAATAACTAGTTTACTACATCTGTAATTGGTATGTATATAATATAGGAGTTTACTATTCTTGACATTAAGCATTACCTGAATATTATTGACTATATTTAAGAAACTGTAGAATCCCAATAGGTTCACTTATGCACTAAATGCATACATAAGGGGATTCTTAATTTCTTAAAGGTTGATTTGTGGATATAAGCTCTTTTCTATCCTTAAAAACATTTCAATTGAATCTTTAGGGTATGCTTTCACATACTACCAAATATTATCCAACCAAAGTGTATCTATTGCTTTATATTTGGGTACTATATTTTCTCATAAAACAGTGTTTCATTGCTACTAATAGTCATAATATGTTGATATTAAATGTGTTTAATTATGTAAAATTACAGGTCCGACCGCTATCAAAATCTTCAAGAGAATTCAATATATAGTTGATCCAAATCCGAATATATTTATCTACGTTTACATCAATTTGTCTAGATCGTTTTTCATTGATTAGTTATCCTAAACTTGCAATATAAGTGTTCCTACAACAGGAAAGAAAAAACGATTTTATAGCATTAATAAGAACCTTTTCGTTATTGACTAAAGTAACAATGGTACTAAGACAATGTATGCAAGAAAAAGATCAAGCGAATTTCAAAATAAATTATGTTATTTGTTATATCAGGAAGATCTGATTATTATAAATGTGTATTCTAACATTAACACAGGGGAAAACAATTGGTACAGATTTCACTAAAGTTAAGTTATTGAGTTCTTTAACTTGATTGCATTGAGTTGCGTTTTCTTTTACAAACATACATAATCACACGCATGCTGTTACCTTTGAAGAATTGGGGATGGATAGTTTTACTATATATATTGATACTCTTAGCGAGTATGCATTTTTATATTCGCAATACATATGCTACTTTAATATTCTTGGTTACTGATTTTATCATTCTTAGGCATCTATTCGAAACTATAGTTTGTACAGTTTCAAGGACGCTGGTTTGTGTTTCAACTACTCTTCATGGAAACAATAGAATATCTTGCAAAGCAAACGCTCAAAAACAGAAATTTGGATCAATCGATAAACACAGATTAAAAAATAGGTGTTACCTCCGGTACCCAAGAAGGTGATATAAAAAGACTATTCTGATACTTATTTGTATATCTGATACTTAGAACTCTTTACTCCCATTTTTTCTTATTCTACCTTTATTTACAAGAACTTAAAGTCAGTACTAATTCCGTAACATTTACTAGGAAAAAATGTGTATACTGTAGAAGTTTTTACTAAGTTATAGTCTCATCATCATGCCAAACACTGCGGACAGTGCAGGTCCTACACCTGAGCCCGTTAATATTTACTCAAAAATGTCGTATATTGAAGTAATTATATCATTTGTATCTTCCCTAGGATTGCTAATTTTTACTGCTATCCAGTTATTTTACCGAACGGCTGATCGACAGAATCAGCTTTTACGAGTCCACCGGCAGACACACTTTGATGGGATGCCTTTTCTTAGTAAACCTAAAACGGATTGTCGAAGAAAAATAGTAGAAAATGGGTTAAATGAGCATAAAAACAGAATTGTTAATCCACCCCAATGTGGTCGTATTATTCCAGCTGTTGTAGAAAATTTGAGAGATGCTAAACAAGATTGTGCCGAAATGTTACAAAAGATTCGGAGTGTATTGCAACGCTCTCATGGAAAATGCGCAGAGTTGATGTCAATGCGATGCTGTTTATCTTGTGTAAAAGGTGTTTTACCTGAAAATCAAAGTGAAAGATTTTTGCGAGTCTATGAACTGGTTAGTTTTGGCGTTAATAGAGTAAATGGAATGGAAAAATACTTGATATCAGAGGATATAAAATTTTTGCATTTCTTCTTTTATGATACTATTCTAAAGGAATTGCAATAGACGATGAAGAGATCTTATTTCGATTTTTCTATATTCTGTTTTGCATTTTTGAATTTGATTGCATTAGTTTTTTTCTCATTAAAAGATACCTCATTCTTTCAAATTCAATATGAATCGACATTTAATTAATTTTAAAGGATTTAAAAGATTGGCTAAGCTTTCGTTGATTCGATCATTGACATATCTTACTGCATATCTTTTTATCCCAATACTTGTTCTTTACATTACCCATAAGCATACAAGCGTTATATAAGTCTAATTATTATTATTATTATTACTATTACATATGAGCATAACGTTAAAACTCGTGTCTGGTATCCAAAAGTCATTGGATGTTCCTGACTTGGGAATCACAGTGGCGGAATTCAAGAAGCTTGCTGAGGTGGCTATAGAAATTCCGGCCGATGAGCAACGGGTGGTACTTCGAGGGAAGGTTTTAAAGGATGAAGATATTTTATCGGTCGTTGGGATGGAGCATGGTAATGCTGTTCACATTGTTCGAAGCAAAAAAAAGGAATCTTCCTCATCCACCACACAACCAACCCAACCGGTTCAAACACAAAGTGGATCCACTACTGCACAAGGTGGCACACCAAGCAACAGCAATAATCCCTCTGATTACTCTTCTAACCCGTACGCTGCACTATTTGGCAGCTACGGAGCTGCACAACAACCACTCAGAGGAGCCGATAGTGCATCTAATTCGAATCCAAATCCGTGGGCCTCTGCAGCGGGCTGGGACCAACAACCCCTCAACGATGCTTTACAAATGCTTCAGAATCCTATGGGTATGCAGCTTATTCAGGAAGCCATGAGGAATCCCGCCCTTATCCAACAGATGATGCAGTTCAATCCGATGTTTTCAAATATGCCACCCGAAGTCCAGCAACAAACCTTACAGATGATAACTAATCCAGAAATAATGAGGCAGATGATGTCCATGTATGCTGGGATGAGCAACGTGAATGCAACACCTGCAAGTAATCCTAACTTTGGCGGTGTGGGAAACACCAGTAGTATTCCTCAGGGTGTTCCAGGCGGATACCCCCTTCCCAACATATTTTCTCCCCCACAACCCCAAGGGGACCCACGTGTTATCTATCGGGAGCAACTACAGCAACTTAGAGAGATGGGTTTCCCAAACGAAGACGCAAATATTGCTGCACTCCAGCAATCACAGGGGAATGTTTCTTTCGCAATTGAGCGTCTATTTAATGTTTAAAGCTAACTCACATAAAACCTAAAAGTATACGCGAATATAGAACAGTAGTATCACTAAGTTTTTTTGTCACGTTGATAATTGGTAGTATGTGTCCACAAGGTTTTGTGTATTTTTTTTCTATTAAACCCCAGTCTAAATGTGCAAGCACTTTTTGCTATTGTAAATTATTTTTGAATTAGATTGCTTTTGTATGTTTTATTAGCCAATATGCGTCTTTCCATCTTTTTTTTTGACATACCGTACATAGTTTTCCATAGCATATTTACCTATACTCCTTAAACGTGTTAATAAAATGTCAGTTGCTGGTGCCTTATCTAACCGCCCTCTCACGAGTAACGTTCGAGAAAGCGTTGAGCGGTACAACAGGTTAGATGTTTTAGGCGAGGGTACCTACGGTGTGGTTTACCGAGCGGTTGATAAAACAAACGGTCAGGTGGTAGCGCTCAAGAAAGTTCGGCTTGATCGCAACGATGAAGGAATTCCTCAAACCGCGCTGCGGGAGGTTTCAGTGCTACAGGAAGTCCACCACCCCAACATCGTCAATTTATTGGATGTAATCTGTTCGGATGGTAAACTTTACCTCATCTTTGAATTTGTTGACCGTGATTTGAAAAAAGCACTTGAAAAGCATGGACCTTTCGCTAGCATAGAGCTAAAGCGACTCATCTTTCAGCTGCTGGATGGTCTTTTCTTTTGCCATCGACACCGTATCGTCCACCGTGATCTCAAACCCGCAAATATTCTTCTCACTCAAAACGGCATTCTGAAACTGGCCGACTTCGGTCTCGCACGGGCTTTCCATGTCCCTATGCACACTTACACCCACGAAGTCGTCACTTTGTGGTATAGAGCCCCAGAAATTCTACTCGGGGAAAAACACTACGCCCCGGCCGTGGATATGTGGAGTGTCGGTTGCATTTTTGCTGAGCTTACGAAAGGAAAGGTTATGTTTCGTGGCGACAGTGAAATTGGGCAGCTCTTTGAGATTTTTCAGGTTCTGGGAACACCAAAAGATTGCGAGGGATCTTGGCCGGGTGTGTCGCGTTTGCCGGACTATCGGGATGTATTCCCCAAATGGCCTGCCAAACGGCTCGAGCAACTTTTACCAAACCTAGATGCTGAAGGAATTGATCTCTTGATGAGGATGCTTAAGTACGATCCGGCAGAGCGTATTTCAGCAAAGGCGGCACTCAAGCATCCATGGTTTAATGATCTTAGACTTTGATTCTTTTTCTCACATATCGTATTAAAGGACAGGTATGGTTATTTCAGGTGAAAAAGATTCTTAGATGCAATTACCTTTTTTTTCTTTAGAGAATTCACGGAAACACAGACAGCGACTAGCTTCAATTTTACTATTGTTTATATTTCTTTTAAAAAAAAATCAGGTTCAGAATATCTATGATTAGAACTAATTGTACTTAATATTTATTCTTATTTTTATGCAGGTCTGCACACTTTGGAGGCATGCTATTTTGTTGCGTTGCATTGATTAAAAATTCAGCATATATATTCTTTATTATTATTATTATTCAATAGCCTGTTTCCAACTAATATTAATTCATTTTTTTAGGGGTTTAGAGCATCATTTTAGTTGTGATTAGTATCACACAAAACTTCAAATTTCCTTGATAATCCATTAAATTTGTATCTTATACATTCAATGGATTCTAATGTGGCCGCACAAACTGTATCGGAAAACTTTTATTTACGCACGCGCTTGCGTCAGATGGAGAACGAAGATCGAAAGCCAGAAACTTTCAATCAAGTAAATTTTGTCAATACTAAGGAGTTGGATAAGCTCAAACGACGCAATGCAGCGCTACATTCTAGCATCACAGATCTGGAAAAAGAATTGGTACTCCTTAAGGTTGTTAATGTGACTGAACTTTGCCATGAGTATCTGCATCTGGACCAGCGCAGGTCTTATTTGAATAACGAAAATATTAGTCTGCGCAATATTTTGTTGAATCAAAAGTTTGATGTCAAAAAGGCCACAGATGCAATGAATCTTTGCCAGGAGAAACGTCGCCTAAACGATGAGCAAAACGTATTGTTGAGGTTGGACATCGAAATGTTTCGCAAGAGGCGGAAAAGTATCTTACAGGAAGTACATGATCTGTCTCAAAAGGAAAAACGTCTCGAGTCGACGCTACATTTTTTTTCCACATCCAGCGAAGAAATTAAAAAGGAGATACAAAAGACTACGCATGACAATTTGAAGAAGGACCAAAAGATTGAAAAATTAACGCACGACTTGATGTTATTAGGAAAAGGGGAAATCAGTTGTGAGGAAAGTGAGGGGGATGAAGATATTGAAGGCCTTCGAAATGAATATGTCTATTTGAAAGAACAACTTCAGGTATTGAAAAAGTAGTGGTTTATTTTTAGATAATTTTGCCCGTGACTCATGTACTATGTTAGTTAAAATTAAGGTGTGAATATTCAGAGTTTTTGCTTCAAAAATACCTTTGATTACAATGTAGATTACATATTCTACTCTTAGCAAAATTTGTTATTGCTATGTACTTTAAATATGGAATGTTGCTTCAATTTATATAGGTGTGCTATGCACAAGCGTCTACACTCGATGTATATTAAAAATAAACAAATTTTTTTCTTTTTTTTCGATTCTACATTTTGACTATCATGCCCAAACAAAAATGACCCCCATATTAAAGACAGCTGATCCATTTAAATGCTTAAGCTAAGCATATTACGTCTTGCAACTCAAAGCTTTCTGAGGAATATTAAGCATGTTCGCAACATCGGGATTAGTGCTCATATTGATAGCGGAAAAACAACAACTACCGAGCGCATTCTTTTTTACTGTGGCAGAATTAAAAAGATCCATGAGGTAAAAGGGGGCACTGAGGTTGGTGCCACCATGGACTCCATGGAGCTGGAGAAGGAGCGTGGGATTACAATTCGTTCAGCGGCAACACAATGCCAATGGAAGAATTCGTGTATTAACATTATTGATACCCCCGGCCATGTCGATTTTACCATTGAAGTGGAGCGCGCTCTACGGGTACTGGACGGTGCAATTCTGCTCATGTGCGCGGTTGGTGGAGTCCAGAGCCAGACCCTCACGGTTGATCGCCAGATGAAGCGATATGGGGTTCCGCGTATTTGTTTTATCAATAAACTCGATCGTGATAATGCAAACCCGCAGCGCACGATCAAGCAAGCACGCGAACGGTTGGGTATTAATACATGTTTTATTTACTTAAATATCGGCACTGCACAAGACTTTGAAGGGGTTGTAGATGTTATTGAAAACAAAGCCGTGTACTTTGACGGTCCATACGGTGAGAAGCTGCGCTATGAAGAGGTGCCGAACTTCTTAAAGGAGGAGACTGAAAATACTCGAAATGAGCTGATTGCCTGCCTTGCCGAGTGTGACGAAGTCATCGAGGGTCTCTTTCTAAGTGATCAAATCCCTTCTGTTGAGCAAATACACGCCGCCGTTCGCCGGGCGACGATTGCGAATAAATTTGTCCCGGTGATCGTCGGCTCGGCCTATCGTAATAAAGGCATTCAACTCCTACTGGATGCCGTCGAGCGCTACTTACCCTCCCCACTGGAGCGGTCTAATCGAGGCTTTGAAATCAAAACCGTAAAGGATGAGGAGGGTCAGACCCACACGATCAAAGACCAACCAGTGGAGTTTTTTACCGATGATGAAAAGCCCCTGGTGGCGTTCATATTTAAGCTGGAGGAGACCAAAAAAGCCGGCCTCTGCAATTATGTGCGCGTTTATCAAGGAAAAATGCGAAAGGAGCACCTGAAAAACGTGCGCACCGGTAAGACGTTTGTGCCGCCAAAACTAGTGCACATGCACGCAGACAGTACGGAGGTCATTGATGAAGTATGCGCGGGTGATATTTGCGCCATTTTGGGTGAGATTGACACCTCTTCAGGGGATACCTTCATGAGGGCTGGACCACAGTCCGCGCAGCTTCTATCCTGCGAGGATATGTATGTCCCTCCTCGAGTTATTTCCGCCTCGGTAAAATTCAAAGATGGTCGAGAAACCAGTAAGGTGAAGGATCGTATGACTGCCTTTATGCGCGAAGATCCAACCTTCGTTTATTTCAGGAATCACGAAACCGATGAGGACATCATGGAGGGCATGGGTGAGCTCCACTTGGATATTTATCGTGAACGTCTTAAGCGTGAGTACAACTTGGAAATCAAACTGGGCAAGCCTACCGTAAACTACCGTGAAATCATCACAGAGCGGCGTGATTTTGATTTCGTCTTCAAGCGGCAGAGCGGTGGGGCGGGGCAGTGGGCACACATTAAGGGTTATATCGAGCCTCTGAAAATTAACATGATGGCGGAAAAAGGCACAAAGAACAAGGTCACCTCCAGCTGTCCCAACGGTGATATCCGTGAGAACCTACAAAAGTCCGTTATCAAGCACCTGGAGCGCAAGATTCTTGTAAGCGGGGAACTCATCCATGCCCCGGTGTGGGGTGTACACTTTCACCTTAGCGGCGGCGCCATGCATGAGGTGGACTCGAACGACTTCGCCTTCCGAAACGCCACGCAGGAGTTGTGGGAGACGACGCTGCCCAGCCTGAAGCCCACACTTGTGGAGCCTTTTATGAATGTGGAGATTACCGTCCCGTCGGCAAACATGACGGACGTCACCACCGAGTTCACCAAACGTGAGGGTGTGGTGGTGGAGAGCTCTGTGGATGGACCGGATGCGGTGGTTCGTGGGGAGACGGCGCTCGATACCATGTTCGGATTTATTTCCGATCTCCGCCGGTTGACAAAAGGACAGGGTGATTTTAGCATGGAGTTTAAGGAATATCGTCCAATGTCTCAGTACAAGGCTCAGATTTGTATGGATGAACGTAACAAGGAGCTGGGCCGGACGCAGTATCAACTCAGTTAGAAAAATAAATAAAAAATATACCACTTTGAATGGTGTAGTGAATTTTTATTTACTTTGAAATATGGTAAGCCTAGGGATCCGCAAAGCGCACAGTTGTTTTTTTATCGCTTATGAGTATTACCTCGTCACATTAACATTTATCTATGGATTTATTCATATTGACTACGCGTCACTTTTTTTCTTTATCGTTGTAAATGCCTAGATTGCTTTACATAAGCATCATAATACATGAGTGCTTAGTTATTATTATAACAATTTTTTCTATTTAAATATTTTCTGTCTTTTTGTATTACTACTTTCCGTTACGATTTTAATTTTTTTACTATCGTAAACTATCAAAATATAATGTTGATTAAAACACCTTTAAGGAAGGTGTAATTAGCGAAGTGCAGATAACTGGTAAATGACCTTAAATCATGTTTCTCATGAGAACGCCAAAATTGGTATGCGGGTTCAGGATTACTGGGGCCGAACTGGAACAATCCGCTGGATTGGTGAGTTCAGTAAAAAAAGCCACTCTCCGATCAACCAAGCGGGTTGGCATTATGGCATCGAGTACGACGAGGTGAGCAAAAACCCTTTGCGTAGTGATGGTACGTGGAATGGGAAGCAGTACTTCACATGCCAGCCACGCAAAGGCATGCTCGGGGTTACACGTGATTATTACCCTGAAGTAAACGGTAAATATGTCGCATTACTCCGCCAGGAGTTTGGGGATCAGGTGGCAACTTGGCACGATTTTGAGTTAGTCAAATTTTGCATTGCCCGTAACTACGACATGTCAAAGGTAATTAAAATGTTGGGAAAACATTTGAAATGGCGCATGGAATTTAAGCCCTCTTGCGATGAGTATTTTCCCCCCACTTTGGGAGAAGATTATTCCTGTGGCTATACCGGAGCCACGGATTATGATGATAACATTATATTTTGCGAGAGGCCCATGAACAACAAAATATGCCCTGCTCCTGTATTTCTTGAAAAGTATACAATCCCTGTTATCATACGTTGGCATATAACTGGGATTGAGATGGGTATAGAGTATTTGAGGAAATCCAATTACTACTCCAAACGGGTGTGCTACATTGTTGATTTGCGGAACTTGAATTCCTTCTCGAGGGCAATGATAACATTCGCTCAGAAGTTAAGTCTTGTTGAACAGGATAACTACCCGGAAATAGCGGGCCGTGTAATGTTAGTTAATTGCCCTACTTTTTTCCGTGTTTGTTGGAAGTTATTTCAGCTTTTTATTAATGAACGCACGAACCAAAAGATCCGCCTCGTTCCTCCGGGCAAAGGTTTCGAAGCTTTGTCAGAGGTGATGGCAGTGGAGGATATTCCCGACTTTTGTGGTGGCCCTAGTACAAAGTGGATGGAGACCAATGGCGGTTGTCTTGGCTCTAGCGACCCCACAAAGGTATGTATAATTGATTACTGTAAGGCATCGGACTCCGCATCTCTACAAATAGAAATGTCTGAAAACTCCTAAAAAAATTAAGGGTGAGTAGGTGGTCGACGAAAATGTGGTGCTATCTATCTTGATAGCACTTTCGTTTTCACATGACGTGTGTATGTGTGGGGAGTCTATGATTGATATTGATATTACTTATATAGAAAATTTATCTTACATGTTTCTCTTTTGTTAGAAGCTAAACAATTAATCAGGCCATCATTTTTTACAACTAGAAATATTGTCCTATTAATATTCTTGTCCTACAATCTGAAAAAAACATAAGCTGGAAAATTAATTTATAGACAAGTATTAGGCTGCTTCACTGAAAGCAATACAAAATTTAATATTGACTTTAGCAATGAGAGCATGATTTAGGAAGAGAAGCCAACTCTTGGTTTGTGTTCTACTTGAAGCACAACAGCTGAGTTCATTTTCTTTATTTTCTTGGTATATTTTATATTTTTGTTGCTTCCTAAATATGAACCTGGAAAGGTACACGTATGAACGATTATAGCATCACAAATATAGAGGGGTACCAGCTATACTAATAACATATAACTATATATTTGCATACTTAAAAGGTTCTTTAAGGAATTAATACAACTCAATTTGCTAAAAAATTTCATCTAGCAACCATCATCTGCTTGTGTGATGATTTTTTTTATAATTAAACACCGATTTATTTTATTTTGAAAGTATTAAAAGAAATGAATCAAATTTCTAATATATAATTTATTTGTTTACTCAAGTACCACCTTACACTCCAATGTCGTATTATGTAACATTTTTTTTGGCAAAATGTGTGCTTTTTTGCATTCAAAGGGTTAACTAAAAGTGCGTTTCGATCTCTATATCTATATAGATATTACTTGTTCTTATTTAATCCTGCATTGACTTAATTTTTCTGTAGTGATTCTCATTAGATATCTTTTCTACAAGTTATTGCCTCCTTTTTTTAACTTGAGTTTTCTCCCCTTTGTTAATCGCAAAAAGTTACCAATTCTATGCATTTCTTAAACTTTGTGAATTATTGACCGCTTACTGATTATTGATATTGTTGTTTACCCTTTTTAACTTGCTGTTTTATTTATTTTTCAGTGTATCATTTCATTAGTTACGGATTTTGTCGACAAATAGTGTAGGCAATGGACACAACAACTCATGCATTAAAGAATAGGTGGTTTGTTAGCTTTCTCCCCCTGATCACTTCCGACATGGTCAACACAGATTTTAAAGGGGACTGGAACCTGGCGTCCGAGCAGCTGATGCAGCGTCTAGACTGGTTGAAGACAGTCGAGGAGGTGTGGTCCACAATGAACTCTCTACCACGAATTCAGCAGCTTGGTGTAGGCAGTACATTTATTATGGCTAGAGAAAACAAAGACCCCAGTTTCGAGGCCTTTCCAAACGGGTCCCGTGTGATGATTAACTTTTTCAAACCTCCTGCGACGGAAAAGGGGATGGAGACGGTAATTGCGGTGGTGCTTGGGGAAGCCATCACAAATGAAGTGAGTGACGGTTTGACTGTTTGTGATGTGATTCGAATTGTCGTTCGTCCCACCCGTGAATATCCAGATATGATACGAGTCGAAGTGTGGCTAAATAAATCTTCCTTTACTTCAAAAGTGGAATCATTTATAAAAAAGGTGCTTGCGGAGCACGATGTTGCTAGCAACCTTTACAGCATTACTGCAAATTCCTTTGAAGGAGCGATGAAAAAACAAACCACATAGACTCAGCATTTCGCGAACCTCCCCGTTCCAAAATTCATAGAAAAGGAGGTCGCGACGGCGAGGGCAGTGGTGGTGGTCGATTAGACTGCGAAGTCGTAGGATAATTCTGCCGCCACTGTGAGGACGCCCATGCCAAACGAGGGGAATATAGGGTTCAGTTTGACGCATGGACTCAATAATAGGTATTGAAAGTACAGGTTAATTAATACCATGGTGCTCTATTTTATCATTTTTTTTTACATTATTGACGTTTACTTTTCAAGTTGTTTCATATTATATTTAAACTCTCAAGTGCTTATTTTGAATTTGTTCACCTCTAAATTTAACAAATTTTCCCCCAAACTTTTTGAGCAAGTTAAGACGAAATGAAGAGTTTCTCAAGTGGAGGCAAAAGTATGTTCTGAAAAGGGTGTGTACATTGAAATATATATATATTTGTTTCTATTAGAGCATCATTGTATTACCATTATTATTGCAGCTCCACCAATACCTTTCTCTTGATATACGTATTGCATGGATTTTCACTTTCGACAAAATTAGAAAGTATAGTAACACTAACTCGAACGCGTTTGATTAAAAGTCCAGATACATGTAAAATGTGATTAAGTGTAAATAAAAGAGATCTTTTTATATTAATAATACTTCGCTCCATTGGAGAGTATGACTTACTGCACAAGCATTATATGACTTCCCAATTTCCCAATCATACACCATTTGTAACACAGCGATGGACACCCTGAATAACCTATCCATCTTCTGCTCCCTTCCCCTATTTTTTTATCCTTCCCCCCCTCCCCACCCCTGAAACTTTTTCTTAGAAGAAAAGGAATAGAGGTATCATGCAGATCTTCGTTAAGACGGCTGGCGGCCGGACGGTGGCCGTGCGCGTTTCCGCTGAGGAGACGGTGGCCTCGCTGCGGAACGCGGCAGGCGTCTCGCGGGGCAGCCTCTTCTTTGCCGGCGCATGCCTGGAAGAAGAAGCGGGTTTGGCCTCCTTTGGCCTGGTCGCCGGCTCTACCGTGCAGGAAATCGTTCCAGTGGAAGGTGGTAAGGGTAAGAAGAAAAAGAAACGTGTCTTCACGAAGCCGAAGAAGCCCACTCACAAACACAAGCTCGAAAAAATGCGCGCGCTCAAATACTTCAAGGTCATCGAGAACGACGACGGCTCCTTTTCGGTGGAGCGAACTCGCCAGGAGTGTCCCCACCCACACTGCGGCGCCAGCATTTTCATGGCGCAGCACAAGGACCGCAAGTACTGCGGGAAATGCCACCTCACCTACAAGGAGGAAAGCAAGTAAAGTAGTCAAAAAAATATCACTAGACTCATGATACTTTAACCATTTTTCAGATCATTTTATTTTTATAATTAAATTTAAAAAATACGATGTCATTTTGGGGGGAATTTTTGCTTTAGATTTGTTTAGTTGAATTTGAACTGAATGTTTGTAATAGTATCTTATTTTCTACATCCCTTTAGTTTTTTTTTATCTAGCTAGTCCAATAGCTTTTCTTCTATAGGTGTAAATGCAACTACAACAATAACAAAAAGAGTAATCTTATTTTCTGAAGCATAAATAATTATATATATATATATATATATATACTTTATCATATACTAGTAGTCTAAGTTCTTGTTATCAAAAAATAGTATTACCAAAGGGTGTCAATCTAGAATTCCCAAGTGAATATGGGACTCTCTGATATTGATGAGGATGACTATCCCTCCCCTGAGGTTCTGCCCGGGACGACGACGACGACGATGAAGAAGTCAACGAATTTGGATGATTTATTTAGCGATCCCAGCCCCCAAAGTGATAAGGGGAGCTGTTCTGGACTGCCTCTAGGAAATTCTTTTGACCCCAAAAAGGTTTCCAATGACCCGCTCGATAGCTTATTCATGTCGTCTCCGTTGAACTCTTTTCCAGAGGTGAATAATTCTACGATGGGTGAACCACAGAAAAATCTCATATATGTGGATAATATCGACGCCGCGACCTATGATGATGCTAACCTGTTTGATATTTCTCGCCCAGCCAAGCATTATAGTTTCCACAACCCTGAAAGCCTCCTGGAGGGGTTTGAAATGCAAGGAAAGAAGACTAGACCCTCGGCTGCCACCCACAGCACCTTAAAGTATTTGACGCGCAACAAAGATGATAACAAAATAACGGCACGGCTGTTGTCGCTCATGAATTACTACGACGTACTGGGCGTCCATCACGACGCCACCGTTGAGGAAATTCGGCGGCACTACAAACAGAAGGCCCTTGAGCTGCATCCGGATCGAGTAGGCCGTGCGCAATCCCTCGAGGAGATGGAACTCTTCAAGGTCATCACAGAAGCACATGAAGTATTGATGGATCCGGAAAAGCGGTCGAAATACGATAGTGAATTGCAGAATGAAGGCTTCACTATGACATCTCCAGTAAGAAAATAAAATTGTGGTAATTGTTAGTCGTGGTAAAAATCTAGATTGATGCATCGATGGTTATTTTATTTTTGTGTGTTCCACTTCTCTTTTTACCATTTTCAAGCTACTCTTGCATCGGCTTGCGATTTGATTATTTACTTATCATCATTTTCAGCAGGCGGTTTCTGAAAAGACTGGATAATTTGTGATAAAGCACATTTATACACCTTTGACAACAAAATAATTACCCCTGGTTTAAATAATTTATGCACTGAACATGCTATTCTTATTTTTCAGACCCTCTCTCCTACTTAATGCTCTATGTGAAGTGATATATTTCGTATTCTCACTTAATATTTTGCCAAATAATCGAAATGATCTGCCGTACCTTAGCTAAGATGAGCTGGCGTGATCAGGGCATCACTTATGTGAAGTATCTAAATGTCTGCACAGAGGCGCTGCATTTGTGCACCATTCCAAAGGCCCGTGCTAAGTATGAGCGCTTTTCGAACCCAAATTATTCTGCCTACATGCCGGAGAGTACAGGTGGAATGCAGGAAATCACAAAGGTGCCAATTTTTACGAAGGACTACTAATCGAATATCACAAGCAGATACTTTTGGCTTGATCATGTGATTACATCCTTTTCTTTTCTTCTTGCCTTTAGCTTGAGGTATCGAAAATATCTACTAGGTTTTAGAAAGGTGTGCACTCATAAAAAGGTGCACTCCCTTTTGTGGGTTTGTAGCTGAATGTCTTCTTTTTGTTGTATTATAATCGCCCTTCTCACAGTTGACTTTGTCCATGTATTTTTATGAGTAGATGCAAAAGTGTGTTTTTATTTTTCCTTTTTTCTTCCTCTTTTTTTGTAGTACAAGAAAAGGGTAACTAAGACTACTAGAAATACCCCACTCTTTACCTCATATCTATCCTTTTCAGCGAGATCTCACCCCAGTCCATGCCGTGGTACTTGAGTACATTCCGTGTAGGGTTTTCCATCATTTATTCTTACTTTGCCTACGTCCAAGTAAGATGGATTGCTGATGCGGAGGATCGTTATCGCCGCTCCACGACGTGGAAAGCTGTCGTTGGGACGATTTTAGATCACAAAATCGTCATAAAACGTGGTGGTTCAAGCTACGTTCGGTATAGCTTCAACGTTGATAATAAGGAGTACGTGGGTGACCGCTTTCGCAGCGGGGGTATGCATAAAGAGGAAATGGTACCAAACCCAGCACTCCTCGGGGCGGGAACGCAGCTTATTGTGTACTACAATCCGGCAAACCCAGATGAGAGCGCAATCAAGCTTCAGGCGGATCGTAGTGCAGAGTCCATATTCGTTATCGGCACTATATTTTCAGTTATCTTTGCGTACCGCGCTGTTCGCTGCGAGACGATCTTGCCCAACATGTTTTATCGATTTTTGGGCGTGAACAGAAGGAGAGGCGGCATTTCAGGATTGCGTCAGGCTCGGCCGCATGCCAAACAAAAGATGAAGTATGGGAAATATACTGGTGCCCTTTAAGGTTATTCGTGGTGTAGTTAATTTATCCATTCACTTATCAATCTGGGAGTGACTCCCTTTCCTGAGGGGGAGTACTCTACACAAAGAGGCAGGAAACCACCTCAGAGATGCCATATCAACCTTAACCGCCATCAGGTGTAGTTATTTATATACGTCTACACGTATGTGCATACGAAAGTTGACTTAAGAAATCATCCCACTTCATACTTTTCTTCTCTTCATTCCTTTTTTTCTTTTTTTAATTTAATTTTTTTTTTTTTAATTAAATGTCATTAGTTGCGGCTATCAAAGCAGGAAGTCAAGAGGTGTTGTAACAGAAAATACCCCACTTTGTATCCTTTTTCCATCCATCGCGAAAAAAGGGGGGTGGAGGTGGGGGGTCGCAATTCCAGTTATACTCACAGCAGCCGTTGATGAGTGGGTCTCGTGCGAAGCCGCCGCGGGCCTTCTTTCGCGCGGATGACCTCCGTCGCTCGCTCGCTGTCGCCCTCGACGATGACGGCGAGGCGCTCGTCGTGGGGGTTGACGAGGCAGGACGAGGACCCGTTTTCGGCCCAATGGTATATGCCGGCGCCGTTATTGACCTTGCTGACCACGACCGTCTGGTCGAGGAGTGCGGCGTCGCCGACAGCAAGGTGCTCACGGCGGGGCAACGTCAGGAGGCCCTGCGAAGCCTCAAGCGGCTCAAAACGTTCCGCTCCTTTGTCGTCGTGCTCACCGCCGAGGAGATCTCAGCTGCGATGACGGGCTGCGATGGGCGCAATCTCAACACCCTTAGCCATGACGCCGCAATCACAATCATCTCCAGGGCGACTCTGGCGGGGGTAGGAAAGCTGTGTGCAGCCTACGTGGATACCGTAGGACCGCCTGAGAGCTACCAAAGCCGACTTTCCGGCCGTTTCCCGCATCTTGATATCACCGTTTCGGCGAAAGCGGATAGTAAGTACCCTATTGTCTCTGCAGCCTCCATCATCGCCAAGACAACGCGTGATGAGGCCATTGAGAGGCTAGGGCTCGACATCGGGAGCGGCTACCCCAGTGATCCACGCGCCGCCAGGTGGCTGCGCTTGCATGTGCATCGCTTTTTCATCGTACCGAGGTGGTACAACTTCGTGAGGTACTCTTGGGGGCCGGTTGCGCAGCTCGGCAAGAACCCCGGGGTATGCATACAAGCAACGTTTAAGCAAGATGAACTCAATGAGGAGAAGAAAAGACCGAAATCGGATCTCGACAAAGGTCAACCCAAATTGGACTTCGCGAGAGTACCACCGAAGCGTGCAGCGATTTTCACACATATGCTGATGCTTGAGCCAATCCAGAGCATTGATTTTTAGTCTTTGCACCGCAAAGAGGTAGAACTGTATTGAATAGAAAATATTCCACCACTGCATAGATTTCGAAGAGTAGTCTTAACATAAAGAAAACCAAATAGCGTTCAATGAACCATTACGCAAGTCCGTTTCTAAACATTTTGGAAATGCGGTGTTCGTAGTCTGTAAAAAAAAAACGACGCCAAAGAAATGAGTTAGAGTGTCAAGACATTCAGTAATCTCAGATTTAAATAATTCCTACTCATTAAATTATTATTGTTAGGTTTCCTCTTTCTATGCATATGTTCGGCTTTTTCCCTAGTTCCATCCCACCTATTCTAATAATGACGTTTATCAGGATATGCATATAGTTGATTATTGACTTTTCCAACTTCAAGAAAGCACCAAGAGCGAGCTAGTGAACTAAAATTTATATATTTAAATATCGATTTATTTTCACAAACTAATGTCCATAGTGTATTTTAATATGGGTTCATCAAAAAAAGCTACGGCAACGTCACTGCTGATGAACCCTTGGGTCGTATTGTTAATTACGATCGCAGTGCGTGTTATCGCTTCGCTAAGCTACGACATGCTTGAAGGGTCTGTGGATGAGCCTTTAATGTTTCACCCGCCACGGAAGATTACCCTGAGTTCCGAACCTCCCGGATCTAAGCTCGAGCTGCACAGCTTTGCCTATCACGCCGTCAACGGCGAAAGAACTGCAGCTCAGTCACTGCTTCGATTTGCTATCGTTTCTGCCCCTTTGGATGCAGCGGTGTGGCGTGATATAGCATTTTTTCGCGCACGCTTTCCCGACGCTGGGATTCCCTATCACTTGCTCTCTGTTGCTCCGTGGTACACACGGTATTTACCGCCTTTTCTGGCATTCCGTCCGTGGCCGATGCTGTGGCTTAGCCTGTGCGATGGTTTGACAGCTTTTTTGATGGCTGGCTGGCCCTCCTGTACGTCAGCTTTGCTCTATGTTGGTTTTGTTCTCAACCCATTGATGTTTCTGCCCACCGTGTGCGAGTCTATTATGCCGCTAGAGTGGTTCCTGTTAGCAATCACAGTGGAAGGGTGCCGATGCCGACGACGAAATATTTGGATCTTCCTTCTTGCGCTGTTGGCGTCTGTTGTTCTCGGTAGCAGCTTTTTAGGGGTTCTTGTGATGTTGCTCTATCCGATTGGTACGAGTAGCCGCTACGTGCAAAGGTGCTCGGCGGTAGCCTTCTGTTTCTTGGTGGGCATCTATGCGTTGCTCTATCATTACTATACTGAAGAAACTTTTAAACATTCTTCTACTTTCGCTCCTCCTGACCATAGCACATTGTGGTATGTACGACAGGCTGCTTTTCTGTCCCTTGAAAGATGTCTTGAAATAACCTTTATTATATTGCCAGCTGTGATTCTACTTCCTACCACAATGGCGATTCCACCGTTTGCTATCACAGAAATATCTTCCTCCAAACACATTCCACTCGTTGCGGATGTAAAGGTATCTTTGCTTGGCATCGCGATTGGCATCTCTGTGCTCTATCGCAACTCTTTTACGATACCCTTCTGTTGCCTTGTGGTGCTTATTATGTATTCTAACCTGAGAATTACCGGTGCCACAGGTGAACCCGCGGCGCTCACACGAAACAGCGTCGATAGTTTTAAGAGTCCTGTTAAGCACTCGTACGGCTCTAGACTGGATATGTTTGTTCCTATTTACGGGTTTCTCATTACGGTGCCGGCAGTGTGGGGTTTTTATCTTGCTTATGGTATATGGGAAGTGCTTAATATGAATTGGATATTTTTTTTCAACATGTCATTTCTATTCTGTTGTGTGGCATATTTGTACATTTGGATGAATGCTATTATCTCTGACATTATTGAACGGAAAGCTAATGAAAAGCCCGAAGCCATATAGTTCACGCATACACACCGATATATATATATATTTATATTTATATGTATGCATATGACATTTGTATTTTGTTTGATTGAAGAGAATTTAACATCAAATTATGGTTAAACAAAATTCCATCATGCTTCTTTGAAGCTCAAATGGTGATATTGAATCGATTACCCCCTTTTTCGTCCTTTATGCCCATTTTTTAATTGTTCTTCTCTCCCTCACCCTGCCTTATTGGTTGTTTGCAGTTATTTATATAAAGTGAGTTTGAGGATCACAAACACACAATCTTTTTTTTTTTTTGCGTACTTGTGTTGTTTTACTCAATACTTCAGTAAACAGTTTTACAATTACCTTTTTTTATGAAGAAATCGTTAAAACTTTAAAGAATCAGAAGTAAAGAAAGACAACCTCGTAATATTTTAAGACGCCGTGCTTCCAGCATAGAAATTTACGTAACTCTCTATACATCAGACTCCCTGCGGTCACCTCAAGACACACACCTTTGGTGTAGACGTGTTTGGTAGTAAAGGTGCTATCTTCAAGGTTAACGTGATTTCCTTGCTTGTGTGGTCGAAAAATTAACTCTAAAATTGTTTAAAAGTCTCAATCGATGCTCTCTTTACGGATAAAATTCCTAAACCGATATTTAATCAAGAATTACGGCAATCGGCAGAGTATTTTCCCCCAAACAAGATCCCACCTAGCGCTTCCAACTTTGCTATGTGTCAGTATGATTTTGATATTGCTTTGTGTTTACCCTGCCGCAACCGCGCCCATGTCCCACCACTCGCACTTATCACCGCCAGGCGATTCCATTGATGACTTACTCCGCATAAAGGGCGACCTGCCTGAGTCCAGAGCATCGTTTCTCACCAAAAGCAGCGCCGGGACCCCCTCCGTTCTCCCTGTGCTTTCCCTGGCGAAGGCTTGCCGGACGGAAATCGAACTCTACTGTGAGAAGTCCTCGTTACACCCGTTACAGTGTTTGCTCGAGCATTACTACACCCTCCGTAACAAGAACCCCCTCAGGATGATGGACCTTTACTCCGAGCTGTGCTACAGCTGGTTGAACGCGCGGGATGTCTGTGTGACGTCGCTACGACAACAGTGGAACAAGCTTTGCGGCGATGAGGGTTACGCGATCAATGTGCGGGAATGCCTACGACGGGTTCCGCCGCCTCTCTTGCCCGAGGACTGTAGGGAAAGCGATTACTACCATAGTGTTCGTCTCGCCGGAAGGCTTCGCCGACAATTCTTCGGTCACGCTAATGGATCGGTGAACGTGGCGACGGGGGAAAAATAGACACCAATCCCAATGTTCCATAAACCGAGAAGAGACAATTATCTTAACCTTGATTTTATCGACGTTACTTCTAATGCTTTACAGAATGATCAACCCCAATAATGAAAAAGCGCAGTCATTGAAATCATTTTTTCACCGTTCTTATACTTTCTCTCAATCGCCCGAACCTGTAAATTCCTCATTTCTCTAAAAAATGTTTTTTTTCCCATTATCATATCCGATTCACTTAGTTCAGTAGTAGTCGCTTATGGACAGAGAGAAGGTGGTAAGCAAACAAACGCCCACAAAAAAAAAAGTGAAAAAAGTACGAAATCATACTGTGGATATATGTATATATATGTATATATAGATATATATATATATATATATATATATACATATATAAGAAAATTCCATTTTCGGAAGTTTTCAAAAAGTTTTACATATTAAACTTTTTTTTTTAAGACGTTAAGTGCAACTTGCATAACTGGTGAACCATGTGTTTTTCACATCAGCTCGTCTTTAAAAGTCATATGTAGACCAAGTTTTTACTCTTTCTTGCTGATTTTTTTGATCTCAGAAAGAATCTTTATTGTCCCTGATTTTAACTTCAAATCTTTTTTATGAATTTGGTGGTTTGATTAAAAAAAATGGTAATAGAAATTCGAATTTTTTTTTCACTTTTCACCCCATGTAATACACGACTTCCTACTTTGGTACTATGTTTTGAGGTGCTTCTTCCCCAGTTTTGTGAATACTAGAATATTGGCATTATTGTACAGAAATAAAAACTATTTAAACATTGCCAGAATAACGCACTACAAGGCCGAAATATGCACTTCAATGTTGATTTTTTTTTATTTAGCTTCGATCTTAATTTTCTTTATTGATTAGCCTTGATATGCTTCTTCATTTTTCTTGACATTTTAATGTACAGTCTATATTTATATTCTTGCATGATGAAAGGGAAACGAATTAAAGCACAGTTCATCTTTTTCTAAAAATAGTGATTTAAAATCGTTGTAGGCATGTGGTCCGCTTATTCTAATGTGTTTCAATAGAACAAGCGACGCAGACACCTCTTTGTCATGATATATTGACAATCTTCTGAGAAAAGACTAGATCTGAGTTGTTTAGTACAAAAAAAAAACATTTTTTCCCTTTATTTTACTATTATTTAGACTTCTTTTCAGCGCCTTTTTTTTTACACAAACACCCGTTCGAGAGGAGAGTCTTGCTGTATGATAATAAAGGAAAAAACTATTGAACCAAATAAATTTCCTCATAAAATATAAAACTTGTCTGTATACATTTATTTTCCACTTCCAGTCGTTGCTTTTCTCAAAAATCCAAACATATGATTGAGGGAAAATAACATTCTAAAAGAAAAATACCCTTGTTCGTTTCAAACATCGGACGGATGAGTTAGCGCAACAAAGAAGAAAAATATAAACATTATTTCATAAGGATGACGGCAAAGTACAATGCGTAAATAAGAAAAATGCATGCTCAGGCATCAAATCAATATAAAGAAATTTATACTACTATATATCAATATTATTAGGTTATAAACAAATTGCTTAAGTTCAACATAAAAAAAATATATAATCTTTTTAATTATTATTTGATTTTACAGTTTATTCCCCCCTTCCCGAGTATAAAGAAACACAATTGCTTTAACGATTTCTTTTGAAAGCACGCAAATGTGAACGAAATGTGGGAAATGTACCCTTAAGAAACTCACAAGTTGAGCTTGTCCTTATCCTTTTAATTTTGAGGGTCCTTTCATTCACCAAAAATGATCTTATACATTGCTTATTAGTACATACCATACTTGTATTTTTGGGCTTTAAAAAATATTTCTAGCCTGCTCTTTGCTGCGCTGGCGATGCAAAAGTTGGTATGCAATGGGCTCAGATGCTGAGGCTAAAGGCGGTCGACAGACTGTGCATGTTATACACGGTATGCTTCACTTCTATTAAATATTTACTCCCCCTAAAGGGGCAATGCTAGCATGCTTTCTAGTGTAAGGCTCATGCATGGTTTTAACATAATAAACAGCTTTCTAATACTTTTAATATATTTAGCCCCTCTGTTCTTGTATGCCTAGAATACTATGCATTTATTTGCGAAATAAAATTGTGTGTGGTCGTAGCCCTGACGTTTTTGAACATAGATCTTGACGTACACTACGTCGACCCAGCAGCGATGGGAATTCTCAATTCTAAAGCGGTAATTATTCAAGAAGGGAGTTTTTAATGATGAAAACTTTGTTCATACTTTAAGTAAAAAAAACAATCAAATGTATTGAATATTGGTTTACACCATTTAAATAACTTTTTCTTTTAGCTTATGATTCTTTTTAGGGCATTCAGACCCCCATTAAGCATCATATTCCGTATCAGAATGTGAAAAATAACCTTATCATTTCTCAATAAAAAAATATCTACGATGTTGCATATTTACATAAACTACGCCAATTTTTTCTCAATATTAATTATTATTTATCCAATATCATTAGATGAACAATCCTTTTCATATAATGCACTTTCTGGTGATGCTACGTGCGGCTCCTTCTACTTGATCATCCTGGAAAGTGTCGCGTCCGAGGAAAAAAAAACTGATGATATAGAAAAATATCACTCGGAAAAAGATCAAAGTCAAAATGATAAAACATGCAGTAAAATCCTTTAAAAAAAATTAACATGTTTTGGGTGATGCGATATTTAAGACTCAATGGCGTCGGTGTGGAGGCTTCGAGTATGTCTGAATTTTCCATCTGACTCCTTCCACATATATTTTCCAACTCCGCGCTCAGCGGCACGTGGCTTCATGATAGGTTACTCTTTTTACGCCCCTTTATAAAGATCCTCCTGGTGATCCGTATAAGTAAGATATTCACATGCTTTAGACTCTGATGGGAGTGTGGAGCTTGAGAAGTTAGTAAAGTGTTTTTATGGAACAAATCAGCACTACAGCTTGCTACATCCTACTCAGAGGGAAGGATCTCAGTTGACAGGGCTGGCAGTTAGAATAGCTAAATCTTCTTGTCTCGTTGCAATCAACTATTCATTTTACGTCCTTTAATTGTCGATATCGTCACGTAGTTTGTGGTGATTGTCTCTCTTCTAAAGAGTGTGAACCCACTCTCTGCCATTAAGGGTCTGTGTGCGAATATCGTAAAGGGAATCGGCTACTGGGGAAGGGGTTTGCATGTGTCCAAGTAAGATGAACCTTATGGATCTTTGATAAGAAGGCAACTAAGGGTTGTAGTCTATTTTACAGCTCGGGGAGATTTGAGGATTCAAAGTAAAAGGTGAAGCTTGAGCCTTAACCTTTTTTTTCCATCTTTTAATGGAAAAGCAAATCCCTAACCCCAAAATGGTCAAACAAAGGTCACTTTTTGATGTTATTTCCCTTGTTTAATCCGATCAGGTCCGTGCTAAGCTATCACATCACTTCACTTCCCCCCTTTATTTTGGGGATCTCCCTTAGCTAGGGTTTCTCTATAACTGAAAAACGAGTTTTCTCCTGATTGGTGATGCGAGCCACCAGGCGTGTGGTGTCACGCGCGATACCGTGTCCCCCCGCAGCCTTTTACAGCACCCTGCGCGAGGCGGTGGGGACGGCGCGCGCGTTGGGCCTCCTGCGCGACGCGAATCGATCCCGTCCAGTCCCCAAGGAGGAGGAGGAGGGGGTGCCCGACTGGACGTACATTGCGCAGAAGCAGCAGGACGTCTACGCGAGCGGGTACACGGCCGAGGGCCCCGCCGTTGCGGCCACGCCTGCTTGTGTCAATTTGGCCCACATCGAGGGCGTCGTGCGCGAGGTGGGCTGCGGTGAGGCGCGGAGCCACGGGGAGGTGGGGTCGGAACCAGGGCCCCGCGTGGCCCTCCGCCGCGCCGTGTCGTTGATCGCCCCGGCGGTGGCGCAGGACGTCGTCGTGCAGCTGTGGCTCGACATCGCGGAGGGCAGCGGCAAAGCCCCCCTGGCGGTGCGTGGCCACCTGTCCAGGGCCGTCATCGAGGCCGCCGCCGCGGATGCGCGCTGCGACGACACGGCCCCCACGGAGAACGGTGGTGGCGCTGCTGCCGCGCCGGGAAGCAACCCGAAGGAGGTCAACCCCACCACGGCTGGCGCCGATTGCTGCTTGGTATGGTACGCCAAACGCCTTCGCCGGGAGCTGGAGCACAAACGCGTGATAGTTTCCGGGATGATCCGTGTGGAGCAGCGGTATGACGCTGATGCGGACAAATTCATTGAGGTGCCGTATATTCAATTGCCCAGGGACGGGCTGAACATGTCATACCACATTATTTCTTAGTCATGGGCTCTTCGTATCGATGTGATTAATAGCCCACGACAGCTGGTGAAAATATTTACATGTTGTTATTGCATGGATGAAAAGGGAGTCTGGGGACCCTTGGTTGCATAAACATATACATATACACATATATGTGTATATGTATTTTCAAATTATTTTTGAGTAAATTTAGAAGGGATAAGCAATAGTCACACACCGATGAGCGCGTGTAATTTTTTCATGTGTGTTATAGGTCACATTGCATGTATGTGGGAGAGAAGAAGGAGGGGGAATGAGCAGCTTTTGAACTCCTTTTTTAGAAATTCTCTAGATTTTCAATTTTGGTAGCATTTCAAGCAGTAGCTTTCTGGTGATTTACACTGATGTTGGTTCGTGTTGGCACGTGTATGCTCCCGTTTTCATGCAAGACACTCAATCGGAGGTACCTCCCCTCCCTATCTACCCTTCTACGATTTTACACGTCTAATTCAAATGGACCGGTAGGCGCACCACCAACATCATCACCCTTGTCTGTTGAGCAATCGCGCCCGCCCCCTTCAAAGAAGCGAGATTCTATAAACAGTGTAACCTTGGTTGGCGTTGCACACGACATCCAAACAGGGTATGTCTTTGAGGACGCTGTCACTCAGTTTACACTCACAACTACCAGCCTCGATACCACAAACCCCACTCAGGAGTGTGTCGTGGAAAAAGATCACCACACAATCCGCTGCTTTGGTGACATTTTCTCGCAAGAAATCAAAACTAAGCTGAAGGAGGGTAACATTGTGTGTGTGAATGGGCGCCTGCGATTGAACCCACAGTTGGAGCCCGCATGCAATAAGTACTTTTACTTTCCTTTTATTCACGTGCAACCCCCTAATGGCCAGGTTATGGTGGTGTACGGTGACCGCCGTGCACCTCCTTCTCTGGTGGAAGCGTCGAGCGGGGAAATCCAATCTAACTCTTCGGAGGAAAGCAAGTGAGAGAATCATTACGTAATAGGGTTATTTCTAACGTTTATTGTGGACTACTTTCTGGTTTCCTATTGTTGTTAAGGGATTGATTCTATTCGCATATATTTAATCTAATAGACGTCTGTAATGAAGTTTACTATTTGTTACATTTATCCTATGATTTTCTCTTTTCAGCATTTTACCCGTTTTTTTTCATCCATGTCTGCATAAGGGAGTATTTTTTTGATAAAAAAAGGGTGTTTTTATATTCCTTGAATCACCACTTACATAATCGGAGCACAAGGAGAACTACCTAATTTATTTAAAGTACTCTTCCCTTTCTCTTCCCCTTAGTAATCCATTTTTTATATTTATAAGCTTGGTCTTTTCCATTCTCTGTAGGAAAAACGGGGTTAAGGGAGGATCATTCGGTATAATAATTGAGCAACTTGCACAAACAACTAGAACACGCAAGTGAACTTAACATAATAACTAGATTCATTACTAGAAGAAGGAAGCTGTAAAATTATTGACCACATATTTCCTTATTGGGGTTTACTATATTACGGTCTGCAACATAGGTCATTGCTTTTGGTTATATCAGAAACCATGTTAACTGAGGAGCTGATTCTAGAAAAGACTAGCCTTCAGAGGCTTGAAGATGTCCGCCGCCTCAATCTGTGGGGAAAGGGTCTGGTTGATGTTTCTATTGTTGCGAAACTCAAGAATATCGAGGTCCTGGCGTTGGTATCAAATCATGTTTGTTCTTTGAGATTCTTTGCGTCGTGCACTTTTCTACAGGAGCTTTATCTGCGTAAGAATGATATTATAGATCTTGGAGAAGTAGGTTTTTTGAAGAACTTAACGAAGCTGCACACGCTGTGGCTTACTGATAACCCCTGCGCGAAGCACCCGAGGTACCGTGAGTTCGTTCTGCATTGCTGTTCGTCGCTAAAGAAGTTGGATAGTATGGAGGTTTTACCTGCCGAGCGTGCCGCTGCAGAAAAGTCAATGTCGCAAAAAGTAGTGAACGAAATTATGAGCCTTAAAACCGAGCCTACACCCATAGTGCTGTCTTCTGGAAAGCTGGCAGCCTCAACAACAGGCGCCAAATCACTCTGCTCATCATCTTTTCGAGAGGAGCCACCATGGTTGAGTTCAACCAAGGAGCATCACACCGATAATGTCATCGTGAACGATACTAGACCAGGAGCTCAGCACGCTATGCTGACTGCCATCGTGGCATTACTTCCTGAGCTGACGATGGACTCCCTAGAGATGCTTGAGCAGGAGGTTCATGATCGTGTTGAATTAAACATGATAAAGCTTAAGAAGTTGCCATCCAATTCCTTGTGATGTCTACAGGGGGAATATTTCAAATACGCATTATGTTATTTCTTTGCAAAAAATCATCAGCTTACCTTCTATGTGCTCACGGTGTTGCTATATTGATACATATGAAAACTGTCTGCTCCTTTACAACTGCTTCGGGTTTGGTTTGGTTTGTATCTTCTCTTCACCTACCCATAGAGGGCCAAGTGGCTGTATTTTCCCCGATTTTTCTACCCCAGATGTGTGATCTGTGGCTTGATGATATGGTGATGGGAAGGATTCAAATAAGGGTATCTTGCAACCAACGTGTTATTCAATATATTGCAATGATTTTGATTATTGCCACTTATGTTTTCCATCCTTGTATTATCTTGCACAGTCAACTAAGCTTTTCACAGAAAATGCCCTTTAAGCGAGTGCTTAGCACCGTGAACACATGTTAGGTGTTATAATTTTTGTGATCGGTTTATGTTGGAAGACCCTGATTTTTTTTGCCCTTGAAATTGTCTTGTAACACTTAGTATGTATTTTTCATTTGAATCCCTTTGGTTGTTTTCAATATATTTTTACAAAGGATTATTTTATGCGTGGACGTGTCTTGATAAGCAATAACAGGTGTTTTCTGAAAGGAGTTGAAGGAAGAGGAAACACCTTTTCAGCTTACTATTGAATTTATCCAAACGTCCATCTATATTAATTTTGAATTTTAGGATAATTTAGTCCATTAATAACCCCCCGCGAGATAGCACACTACATTCAAGGATATTTTATTACTTTGAAATTTCTCCTCGGAGGCTTATATATATATCTACACTTTTTTTTTGAATACACTTTATACAACGGAAGCAGTAAGAAGCGGCGGAGCTTCTAGTAGGTAAAATGACTAACGAGATTGAAGATCATATTTTGCGTAAGTATGAGATTCAAACGCAACTCGGAAAAGGTGCATATGGGATTGTTTGGCGGGCCGTCGAGCGTAGCACAAACCGAATTGTCGCAGTAAAGAAAATTTTCGATGCCTTTCAAAACTCAACTGATGCGCAGCGAACTTTTCGAGAGGTTATGTTTTTGCATCACTTACGTCATCCCAACATCATTAAGCTTCTTCATGTACATCGTGCATTCAATGATCGCGATATTTATGTAGTCTTTGAGTATATGGAAACCGACTTACACATTGTTATCAAGGCGAATATCCTGGCCGACATTCATCGTCAGTTTATTGTCTATCAGCTTCTCAAGACAATGAAGTACCTACACTCGGCCGAGATTTTGCATCGCGATATGAAGCCCAGCAACCTGCTTCTCAATAGCGACTGCACCATGAAGGTGGCGGATTTCGGCCTCGCACGGTCGATCCTCTCTCTGGAGAAAGAACAGCTCGCGCGTCCTTCCCTGACCGACTACATCGCGACGCGGTGGTACCGTCCGCCCGAGATTCTGCTAGGGAGCACGGCCTACACCAAAGGGGTGGATATGTGGTCGGTGGGGTGCATCATAGGAGAGCTGATCCTCGGCAAACCTATCTTCCCCGGCCGCTCCACCACCCACCAGCTGGAGCTCATCCTCAGTGTGACGGGGAACCCCTCACCGACGGACGTGGCCGCGACGAACTCGCAGTTCGCCGAGGTCATGCTGCGTGACATCCCGCGCGGGCCCCCGCGGAGTTTCGCCGAACTCCTCCCCGGAGCCTCCCCAGATGCCCTGGACCTCGTCCAGCGACTCATCTGTTTCAACCTCAACGAGCGTGTCACCGCGGCACAGGCGCTGGAGCACCCCTACGTTGCCCCTTTTCACTGCCCAAAGGAGGAAATCGCGGCGGCGGAGCCGATCATCATCTCCCTCCCCGACGACACCCGCTTCACCTTGCAGGAGTACCGAGAGAAGCTCTATGAGGAGATCGCGCGGATGCGACGCGGTGCGCGGCGGGAGGCAGCTGGGGGAGGGGATCGGGGGGGGAGGGCCCCAGCCCCCACCGTCTCAGCCCCGTCGAATCGACGCGTGGTGTCGGCTGGGGGGCGCCCCGCGGGCACGCGCTCAACGACCTCGACTAACAGCAGCCCAACTGCCGCTTGCGGCGTCGCTTCACGGCAGCGGGGGGTGCGCCCAGCCCGCCCCATCCCATCACCCCCCTCCAACAGCGATATAAAGGGTCGACGAGTGCTGGCTAGTAAATAGAAAAACAAAAAAAGGGGGGGGTGGGGGAAGGAAAGGGAGTCGTTTTTTAATTTTCTTCTTCTTTTTTCCCTCTTTTTTTTTGTCTGTGAGTGAGTGGAAGGACTGGAGGCTTTACCTGATCGTGGGTTTGGAGTCATAGCATTGCCAGATTGATCATTAGGTCCTTTCCCTTACTTGTCCTTTCTGTCATTCTTCCTTTTTCATTATTATTAATTTTCAAACTCTTCTGCTGCTAGATTTACTCAAAGTTTTTTTCATTTATTTTGTGTGTCTGGAAGAGGGAGTACCGCGACACGATTTCTCATGGGTTGGACTGACATTAAAGGTATTCTGAAGGATTTTTATGCGTTAGTAGTGTGTTGGACTCTGAATTTATACACTAAGGCACTGCTATTTATTTAGTACGTTGGGGTCAAACAATATTTCCTCATAGCTTTTTATTTGGTGCTGTTGTGAAGATATATATATATATATATATATATATGTATATATATATATTATT